AAATATCCCTTATCATATGCAGTCAACCAAAATATACAGTCAAAAAATCTTGTGTGGTGTAACCTCTTACTCTGCTTTGGCTTTTCTCCAGAGGGAACTGTTACACTTCAATAATGGTTACAATCCTTCTATATTCGAATAAGTTACATATGTAAAGTTCAATAGTTACAAACAGCTCGTTACTTCAAATGCCACACATAAAATGTACACACTTTCTCTAATTATTGCACACTGGGGATCATTTCTGTACCTATAATCTAGGCTGTAAAAATGCTTAATCCTATCGACAATAAAACCTGAATAAAAATTATGTAAAAAGAATAAAAAAATAAACAACCAAAATATATCATAGATAAAAGAAAAATATATATAGAAAATATATATATATTGCACATTAAATTATTTTTCTGAAAATCACTGGTTAAAAATATTTAACCCATCAAGGGTGAGAGAGAGAGACTCAAAATCATTATATTTTTCTTCTTACTAAATAAATGAAAATTTATAGAAATAGATATATGTGCAAATCTCACTAATCTTCCAAAAAATGGCAGATCTCAAAATCCGTATTGAGGCCGTGGGGGGTAAGGGTATTTAATTCGAAAATCATTCGCATTTCTTCCCTACTCAATTTCTGATTAAAGGTACCTCCTCTCCAGTCTTTTGAAACTTTTTTAATGCCTAAAAATAGTGAACCTAACGGGGACTGATTATGAAATTGTTTGTAGTGCGCAGGTACACTATTATTATCTGCACCTCTCATAATGTTTCTGCTATGTTCCTCTATCCAAATATGTAGGGCCCTGGTTGTTTTCCCCACATAATTCAGACCGCAAGGACACTGCAGAACATAAATGACATTCTTTGTATGGCATGTTATCATTTCCCTTATCTTAAAATGGGTTAAAGTTCTTTTTTTATTCCCTGTCCTCCTACAGGCTAAACATTGGCCACATCCATAAAATCCTTTCCCTTCATTTAGGAAAGTGTCATTCATTTTCCGATCTCTAATAAAACTAGAGGTTAGGGTACTCCGAAGATTTCCCACTCCTCTATGTATGAACCGTGGCTTTTCCGTTAAAATAGTGGCTAAGGCTGGATCTTGGCGTAAAATAGGCCAGAATTTATAAATAATGCTTCTAATTTTACTAATCTCTAAACTGTAATTGCAGATTAAGGGTACATCTTGCACATCCTGTTTTATCCTTTCTTTATAGACTAGAAGGTCTTCTCTTTCTGTATCCTTCACCCTCAATCTAGCTTCTTCTAGTTTGTTTTCTTCATATCCTTTGTCTAAAAAAGCGTTCTTTATTCTCATCGATTGGTCCTCATAATGACCTACATCTGTACAATTGCGCCTTATACATAAAAATTGGCCTCTAGGTGCATTCTCCAGCCAAAGCGTAAAATGACAACTATCTTTATTAATAAAACTATTAACATCAACTGACTTAAATTTTTTTTTGTTTTCATCACTCCATCCTCTATAAAAATAGTGAGATCTAAAAAAAAATCCTCTCTCTAAATTACTCCATGGGCTAATCAATTTAATGCCCCAAGTACTGGAATTTAAAAAAGTGAGGAATTCTTGTAGAGACTCCTCTGTCCCTTTCCAAATAAAAAAGATATCGTCAATGTAACGGCCATAGGAAACCAAGTTCTCGCCCCAGCCATGTCCGTCATACACGAACAACCGTTCCCGATATGACATAAATATATTGGCATAGCTGGGGGCGAACTTGGTCCCCATGGCAGTACCATTGATCTGGAGGTAAAAAATCATCCCCAAACCAAAAAAAGTTATTTTCTAAAATGAGTCTAATACCTTCCAACACATATTCTATTTGTATAGCTCTCATATCTGTGCAATTCTTTAAAAAACAATTAACAGCTTCACATCCATATATGTGGGGTATATTACTGTACAGGGCTGTGACATCGCATGTAACTAATAGCCAGCCCTCTTCCCAAACACTTGATTTTAATAGGTTCAAAACCGCTGTTGTATCCTTTATGTAGGATCTAGTTTTTATAACTACAGGTTGCAATTGTAGATCAATATAATGGGAGAGTCTACTAGAAATTGAGTCTATCCCTGCAACTATGGGTCTCCCTGGTGGATTCTCCACATTCTTATGAATCTTTGGAAGAAAATAAAAAACAGGCATTTTAGGGTGTAAAATATTCATATAGTCGAATTCTTTCTTATTCAGAATTTCTGATTCCAGGCCTTTTATTAAAAAAATCCTAAATTGTTCTTCTATAATATTACTAGGGTTAGTGGATAATTTTTTTGTAAGTGGTGGTATCCATCAATATAAAATTCTTTAGACATGGCCACTATTCCTCCCCCTTTATCAACTGGTTTTATCACTATATTGTCATTACTTTTCAATTCCCTTAGCACTTTCCTTTCTTTTATAGATAAATTATCATTAAATTTATCCTTTATCTTGATTTTTCTGAACGCGTTAAGAACCATCGTTTCAAATGTGATCATACTCTCTGAGATCATTTGTTTAGGAAAAAAGTTTGATTTCTTTCTCAAGCCTGTGTGTTTAAATCCATCATCCCAATTTTTTTTTTTTTTTCAATTCTTTATTTTGGGTGTGCATAGATTTTACAAACAGTCTTGCCATGCCACAACAGCTAGTGCAAGCTTTTCAAAACATAGACATTCGTATGGCATTTGATAATTCTGCACATTTTTATGAAATAAAAAGATATTACAAGAGTAACAGGCGTAACTTTTTGTAGGTAGAAACAGGGTGATGCTATCACTGCCTGTGGATGCTTAAATGAGATTATCAGTGTAAGGTCCTGCAAGTTATCAGGCCCGGTAAATATGGAACATATAACATGAAAACATTAACTTTGTATGCCATGGGTGTTATTCCCCAGGATGCTGAGTAAAATAATATGCAAGACATTAATGTGTTATACTGCTAGACAGAATGCAAGAAGGAATAAAACAAAATAATATAATATAGCCACTGGGGAACTAGGCTGGTAAAATTATTGCTTATAGTGGAGCAATAGTCTGTGATCCCCAAGCCCTGAGCAGAAGCTTGACCCCATGGGACCTGTGAGAGGCAGTTTAGCCGATGCCTATCTGCGGCAGGTTATTGTCCTTGGGTGGTATGAGTTCGTTCTGGTAACAGGTACTGACCCACTTGTGATCGCGGTAGCCATCATGAGGCTGCAGATTCCCACACTGGGTGCGTGGCTGCCACTTGTGATGATCTTGTCTGGGATACAGCTCCCTTGTGGGACGATGTCCAGGTGAGTGCTGTATGCTCTCTTCAGTCCCGCTCTCCAGCTTTAGGTAGGTTGGGCAATGCTGCGTGTGTAGTAAGCATGTGGTTGGCTGATCGCCACATGGCAGGTCCCTGTCTCTACGGCTCCGGGCTGTAAGGGGAGCCAGTGCCCTTAGTCCGTGGGTCCCCCTTCTCCCAGTGGCGGGATCGTGAACCCCCGGGGCTTCTGGGTAACGGTTTACCCCTTGGGTCAGTGGACTGTGGCATGGAGGAGTCTCCGGTTGGGCCCCCGGCCCGGAAGAGAGACAGGTAGCGGTGGCTGCTTTACTTACAGTTGCCATTTCGGGAGGGGTGTGAGTGGGTCTCCGCTTGGCGAGGCGGTCCCAGAAGGCCTGGCAGATCGCCTCGAACCTTGCATCGAAGGCCTCTCTCCAGCTCTGTCCCATCAGACTTGTTTGGTGGCATTGGGATTTCAAAGTGGCGGCCATCTTAGTTGAGCCGCGTGGCTCGCGGGATTCTTTCTTTGAGGCTTTACGGAGCAGGCTTAGCTGGCCCTGTGGGGACTGGGATAACCCCCACCAGTCCAAAGGGGGGGATAACGGAGCTGTGAGCGGTGTGTTGTGCGCCTCCCGGTAGGAGATCGGCCGCATCTCACCACCGGTGGTCCACCAGCTGCAGTAGGCCTCAGACGTGCTGTCCCGCGGTCCGTCCGACCCGGGCTCCCCACGGCTTGCTTGCCTGTGGGGTGTTAGCTTTAGAGTTGAAAACTTGTTTTGCTTTTTGTTTTTGCAGGATTTGTGCTGTTTTCGTGTGTTTGTGGCTCATATCGTGAGGAGCTACAGGCAAACACGTCCAGCCATGTTGGAGATCAGGCCCCGCCCCCAAATCCATCATCCCAATTTAATTGTCTTTCTATCGGATTTTTAAGAAAAAAAAATTTTAAACATAAATTTCTCTTAAACTTGTTAAGATCCACATAAAAGTCAAAATGATTCCGATGCTTGCTTGGGGCAAATTTAAGCCCTTTACTCAGGGTATTAATCTCATCTTTGGTTAACTATATTGCCTATACTGTAAATACCCATTTCCCTCATAGTTACAGAGTCCATAGATCCTTCCTTCATGGTCTCGATTTCCTTTCTCTCCTGTCTTTTTTTGTTGACTGCTTTACCTCCTCTCCTTCCTCTAGTGATGAATCTCTTCGTCTTTTTAAATATGTTCCCTGATCAATGGGGGATGAGACGGGAATCCCCAAGGAAATGGAACCAGTATCAAGTCCTGGAAGGACTAGAACCGGAACAGGATTTTTGGAGGAGTCGTCAGATAGAAAGACACAAGAGAGAACAGGGAACAGATCAGGGAACATATTTAAAAAGACAAAGAGATTCATCACAAAAACAGATGATGGGAGTTGAAGTCCAGAACAGCTAACAGTACCAAAGGCTGCCTGCAGCTGGCATTTCAGATGCAGTAAACTATAACTCCCATCACAATCAGACAACACAAACTCACACATACACAGATTTAATCAGTGAAATAGGAAAAAATGATCTCCAACGTGCAGGATACAAGCTGTGACTATAGTTTAATTATAGAGATGTTTGCCTGTATTGAGTAATTCTGCTTTAAGGTCAGTAAAATTCACCCACAATCACACACAGAGCAGTGGTTGCTTAGTAACAGGCCACGCCAACACCTAGTTCAAGTGGGTGGGGCTAACCCTGTTGTGATGCTCCGCCCACACCCATATCAGTATTACCGTCTCGTGATTCTCACTCTGGGATTTTCAGTTAAATCTCTTTAATTAGATTAATAAATCATTCAATAAATTCTCAGCCAGGTATTACCCCCATATACTTCGAATATAGCATGAAGCGGCTCGGTGAAGGTGGCACTGAAGGTGTGTAAGTGTCTGATGGGGTCACACAGCTCATAAAAGGACAGCCGCCCGGCCTCGTAGTCCAGGAATATCCCCAATCTCCGGCTGGAAGGGGGGCGGAGGGGAGATAACCGGATATCTTTACTGTCATGTGTCACATAATACTGATTATTATCACACCTCCACAAACCCCAGGACTTGTTATTAAATCCAATCCATGACTGACGTCCTTCTCTGTCTATACTGCGATAGGCCATCCCTACCATCCATCTCCCTGATTCACTGCCCTCCACTTCCCAGTAATGTCGCCCTGAGGAGAAACTCCTGGAGCTTAAAACCTGATTACATTGAAATCTCCCTGGTGTGTCTGTGCGACTCTGGTTTATTCCTGACCAGGATACAGTTTTCATATCACTAGATACAGTTAGTTTATTACCAGCCTTGTTTACACCCAGTAACATGTCTGAAGCCGTGTTTACCCCCAGTAATATATTAGCCGGTACATGGCACTGTCTCTTTAATCCGGTCACAATCCCAGCTAAGCCTGAGTGTAAGGTCACTGAGATCAAACCCACATCCAGATCCCTTCCAGCACGGACCTTCGTATCATCTCTCTCTCTGTCCTCATTATCTCCCTCCTCAGTATCACAATAGTCAGCGCTGTCTGATTCCCGTTCTTGTAAGACAGTTAATGGGTCCATAATTTTACACAGCTCCTCAATGTGACCCATCTTCCTGGACAAATCCCCCTTCTTTATTTCCAGCTGCCGGATTAGATCTGAGACTCGGAGTGAGACCTGCTCTTCCTGCCTGGAGATCTCACGCAGGACTCGCTTCTCTAGGGCTTCCAGATGTTCCTTAATATCCCTAATCAGGGCAGTGACTTCCTCTGTTACCCCAGCTGCTTTGTCTGACACTTCTCTCCTGAGCTCCTGCAGGCTCTGGACTCTTTTCTCAGCCTCCCCTCTCTTTGAGGTCAGTTTCTGCAGAATATGTCTCAGTTTCTCCTTCTTCGTCTCACAGGCCTCATTCAGAGTTTCCACCTGGTGTCCCCTGTGCTCTCCGTCCAGCCTGCAGGACACACAGATACAGAAAGAATCCTCAGAGCAATAATACTCCAGGACCTTCTTGTGGACGGAGCATTTTCTGTTCCCCAGTGAAGTGGTGGGTTCAGTTAGGACATGTTCTGCTGACTGGCTGTGGACCCTCAGGTGGGCTTCACACAGAAAAGCTTCACAGTACAGACATGTTTTAGCAGCAGGTACAGGAGAGTGAATACAGTAAGTACAGAGGATCCCAACCTCCTCCTGCTCTGGGTGAGTATATTGGAAACTTTCCGCCATGTTACACATTCTCAGGTTTCTTTTAAGCTCAGGTCTTACCCTAAACTTGTGTCTGCATTCAGGACAAGAATATTCTCTCTCCTCCTGGTTGTCCCATGTTCTTGTGATACAGACCTGGCAGAAGCTGTGTCCACATGTCAGGGTTACAGGAAGGGTATAAATGTCCGTGCAGATGGAGCAGGTCAGCTCGTCTCTCAGATCAGCAGACGCCATCACTAAAAGCAGCAACAGAAAATGAGAATCAAAGTTCTTTTTCTGTGATAAAACCAATAAACTGGGCGCGTTTCATGGACTTTGAATTCCAGTTTATTGCATTTTCTCAGAGAAACAAGATTCAAGGAAATAACAAGTGAATCATTTCTCAAACTCTGCCTTTCCCGTTCAAACTCCACTCAGACAGGACTGGAAACGGGTTTCTGTTAGCTCCAGGGGACAAGGGCAATCAGGGAATCTCTCTCTGTACTTTGAGGCTGAGGGATACTAATTTTAAAGAAAGATGATGACAGGACATTAGAGATGTTAACCATATAATCAACCTATAATGTTATAATGGGGAGGGGTAAATCTAAAGAGTTTTATGAGATATAATATTGTCCAGCAAAGACATTATAGTCATCAGAACAGCTCCAGCCTATTGTATAGTATACAGCTTATTCATTGTATTTGTTCTGGTGAGTATAGTCAGAGAAGATGCAGTGTTTACATTACTGGCCACTCATCAGATGGCTGTTAGAGGTGCTTCCTGTCACGACACTCCTTAGTTAATATGCCCTTGTGCAGTACTCACACTCACCACTGGTTCTGTTTGGCACTGTTTCTCATTTCTTTTCGTTAAGCACTATACCTGGCCCTTGTTTAGCACCTATATATTCTGGTTTCTCCCCTCACTCCCTGGCAGATCATTATCCTTCATCCTTGATCCTGTACCTGCGGTTTCCTGGTTCCCGTGTTTCTGGCTCCTGTATCTTGTGTATCCTGATCCTGTGTTCCTGTTCCGATGTCTTTATGGTCGAGCGTTTTCGTCTCTGCCTGGTCCTGTGTCCTGTGCCTCCCGTTCCAGTGTTCGCTTGCAGTGTTCCTGCCTATCTTCAATCCCAGTGATTCTGACCTTGCTGCCTATTTACCTGTGACCTGCTTTGGGCTTTGCCCCTTGGTGTTTATTTAGTGCTTGGTGGCTTAGGATCCGTGCCCCACTTATATTCTGTGGTGGATGCACGATCCTACCCCAAGCCTTTACTTTTTGCCTAAGGACTATCACGTGTACTCTGCCTGCTCTAATTGTATTTATATTGATTTATTGTATGCAGACACTGAACTTTCCTCATAGAGATTCATTGATTCAATGTATCTCTATGAGGAGATGCTGATTGGCCAGGGCTGTGTTTGACTTGTGCTGGCTCTGCCCCAGATCGGCCTCCTTGACAGTCTCAGCCAACCCAATGTGAAGCATTGTGAATGGCTCAGACCACCACTTCTCATAATGTCAGCAGACAGAGGCAGTTCAGGGGCAAAGCCAACAGCTTCAGACTTAAATACAAGTAAGATTTTACTATATTTATGGAGGTAAGGGGAGACTAGGGGGGCGAGATGATGGTTTTAACACTATAGGATCAGGAATACGTTTATGTTCCTGATCCTATAGTGTTCCTTTAAATAATGTAAAAAAATAAATATCCACAAAGTAAAACCCATATACAGATACACCTCAATACAGTCTACACCAGGAGTGCCCAAAAGGTAATTGCCTAGATGCTGCAGGACCTCATAGCCCTTAATGCTGTTACGGCGTTCTATGCCGTCCCACATTAATTGGGATCTAAAGCCGTTGCAGTGGCATAGAACACCATAACGGCTTTGAGACCCTGGAGGTCCGCGGTACTTACCTTCACCGCGATCTGCTTTAGGAGGACTGTCTAACAGCCCAGGCAGCCCTCCCACGGCAACTCAGGCCCCCAGAGTGATCACATGGCAGGCATAGCTGCCTGGAGGAGGTACTGCCTGGACTGTCAGACAGTCCCCTTGCTGGTGGGAAAACGTTTAAAAAAATAATTATAACACAAATAATAATAATAATTAAATGTGTGTGTATGTATATATATATATATATATATATATATATATATAAATAAAATAGTCTTTGCGTGTGTTGAGGTACAATACTGAGATAGAGGCTAGAGACAAACAACTACAACAGATGTGGGACAGATTTCATAGAAGAGAATATCACAGACATGTATTATCTACAGCTAAGTCGAAAGCTTTAGAGCGATGGTCCAAACATACCCAGGAGACACTAACGACTAGAGCACAACGTAGGAGAATGTTCCTACCTTTAACATTTCACACAGGTATTATGCAAATCAGAGACTCCATCCATAAACATTCAGACATTTTACAATCGGAGGCTAAAATACCATCAATTTTTCAAGAACATCTCACTGTAAGCTCCAGGAGAAATCGAAGTCTACATGAACGCAGTGATCCAACTCATTGCTGTAGGAAACCGGCAAAAATCAGAAACATGACTAGTGGGTCGACTTTTGTACATCCCCACAGTGGCAAACGGATTCCTATTAGACATTACATCACTTGTGCCACGGACCATGTCAATTATATGATCACTTGTCTCTGCAGACTTTCATATGTTGGAATAACGGATCTTACCCTTAGGTATCGGATCAGAGGGCATAGATCTGGAATTATGACAGCATTTCGTGATCAACGCACTGAAAAGCCTATAGCCAAAATTGCTATAGCCAAAAAAATAGCCTATGGCTGTTCAACACCCTACTCTCCGCTTTATAGCGATAGAGCATGTCCCTCCTCTTTCCCGTGGAGGTCACAGATCTAAGCTTCTTCTACAGCGTGAGGCGTACTGGATCCATGACTTGGACACAGTTGTCCCTAGGGGTTTAAATGAAAATGTTGTTGTTAGGCTGCAAAATTTTACAGGGTCTGTAACCCTTAAGCTGCAATGGACTTATGCAGTTAACACATCCTGCTTTCCTTAATCTCTTTGTACGTTCACTGCAGAGGACAATTAATGCAGACCAGTCATGAAAGAAGTGTATTTTAATGTGTGTGCATCGTATTATATGAAACACTGTTTTTCTAAGGGGTGTATACCACAGAAGGCAAAATAAACCAATCATAGATGTTCAGTGCAAAAAGTATAATTTAACATTACATATTGCTGTAAATCTACTGCGCATGTCCAGCATGTCTTCTCTAAACTATGCGGGGTGATCTTGACCTGTGAGACAAAGAAAAGGGAGGTTGTTCTTGCAACAGATAGCAGACAGAGGAGAGAATTCTTGCTTTTAACCCCTGCAGACGTTCAAAGACTTAGAAACATAAAAACATAGAATGTGACGGCAGATAAGAACCATTCAGCCCATCTAGTCTGCCCAATTTTCTAAATACTTTCATTAGTCCCTGGCCTTATCCTATAGTTAGGATAGCCTTATGCCTATCCCACGCATGCTTAAACTCCTTTACTGTGTTAACCTCTACCACTTCAGCTGGAAGGCTATTCCATGCATCCACTACCCTCTCAGTAAAGTAATACTTCCTGATATTATTTTTAAACCTTTGTCCCTCTAATTTAAGACTATGTCCTCTTGTTGTGGTAGTTTTTCTTCTTTTAAATATAGAAAAAGAAAAAGGGTAATAGGCGCTCACTATAGTGAATTGTGAACAAGCAGCAGTATACAAAACAAGGATTCCCAAAAACCTTGTGGATAGATAAGAAGAAAAGGAGAGAGAATACCACGCTAATAATTTATATAAATACAAGATGTACATATATTCACAGGTATTTCCAATAAATCGAAAACCTCTGAATAAAATAGAATAAAAAATAATAGTGCAATACAGTAAAATTATATCGTGAAGTGGTGAATATAACTATACACAATCCACTCACTGTGCTCAACTGTGATGTGCTTGGACGGTACGATCCCCGTCTCAGGATATGTCTGTGGCGAAAGTAACCTCGCCACTGGTTTTTGGAGGGGCCTGTTTGCCAGCCTCCTGCCCTACGACTATGGCCCTGGGATGTATTGCCCTTCTAGGAACTGATGTGGGCATACTGGATTTTATTATGCTGCTGCTGGCCCTTTCAGAACCATCTGGGGACATACTGTGGAGTTACTGGGTGGCCACAATTTCATGTATCAGAGGCACCTGGTGAGAACAATGGATGAAGCACATGGTGAGAACAATGGATGGTGACCATTTTAACTCACAGACACTGTTTGGACTTTTCTACACGGTATTTAGTGCACAAAGACATCGTGCAATAGTTTTAAAATATACAACAGTGGACACATTATACAGTAATTATTTTTCATATAGCCTGTATATGTTCTGCGGAATCTGCATTAAACTGTATCTTCCAAACTACTGAACAGATCTCCGTGAATTTTGGATATGTGGTTCACCCAGATCCCCCGGTTCCGGGGTTATTGCATGTTTTGGGGTCCCTGTGATATGTTTTATAATACTGTATTTCTCTGCAGAGGGGAGGATTTTGTGTGGGAGTGTCTGTGTGTATTGTATGGATTGATTGGTTGCATTTCATAACCCTGTGGGCAGTACTATGTTTGTGGATTGTGAATAAAAGAGGCTGTATGTGCCAGTACAGTCAGCTCTGCTTGACCTCAAAATGAAGTGTTGTCTCGTTATTGGGGGAATTGGATTGTATGCTGATTGCCAGGAGTGTAAGCTGATTGTATGCTTTTCCTGTTCAGCTGCTTACAGCATTCAAATGCTTGAGAGCATTCGTATGCTTCTCCGGTTCGGTGGTTGTGGTGTCTGCTTTAGTGCTTGGAGTCCTCAGGAAGCGCTGTAATGACACATGACAGAAATATTACGTCATCATTCCCTTTTATTCCAGAAGTTGTGTCCTTAAGGGGTTAAACGTGTTGGCCAACTAGGGAAAACAAAGTGTGGGGTAGAGAGGGTAACCAATAGACTGCATGAATAGGTGAGACTTCCTGAGATAATGCTGCAAGATGACAAGGTGGATCTGGGAAATATGTGGGACCCCAGAAAAAAGTGAAAGCAGGTATAGTGGCTCGACTACATGGTTACTTAGCTAAAAACCAAGTCCGGCCTACCTCGTATTTGTGATTAAAACGGTTGATCCAAAAGAAGGCGAAAAACCCAGTTTGAAGCGCTTTCCAATTTGCAACAAGCTAGGGAAAAATTTC